TTCCACAGAGATGGGTGGACACATCGTTTGTCTGCTGGTCGTTAACTGGAGAGGACAGGGATCAGAAGGTGTGGACAGGCAGCCTGGCTTGGAGGGGTAGAAACAGGCCATGCGGTCAGGGTTCAAGAAAGACGGAAAACCTGGGCTTGTGGAAAAGCATATGGGGATGTGGGAGAGAGCCAGGAAATGAAAATAAAACGATGAAAGATGGACAGTCTGCACTGAGGTCATGTGATCAGAGTTGTGGGCTCTTAGCCTGGAAAGGGAGAAGACAGTATATGGTTTGCTAAGTTTTTCTGAATAGGTATGGGGTTAGTACAAGGAAGACCAACTGCTCCAAGTCCTCTGAGAATAAAACCAGGAGTGGGGGGACCTCGGCTAGAGCAGAACAAGCTCAGAAAGGCTGTGGACAGGGCTGCGTGCCCGCTGACTGACGGTGCGTCCGCGTCGGGAGGCCGCGCGCTCTGCCCACGGGCTTCAGCTGCACGTGCACCTTAGGCAGGAGTCAGGAATACATCGGCTGAAACAAGCCCGAAGCAGCCTAGAGAAGCCCAAGTGCTCTTGCCGCTTCTGGTCTGCCACGGGCCAGTGACACCAGGTTGTCTGGGGCTGTCAGAAACGCGGAGCTTCAGGCCCCACATCAGACCTATTGAGTGGGAATCTGCCTTCCTCACAGGGGCCTCGGGCGCAGGGTTCGTTGTCCTTCTACAGTGGACTCTGCTACCCCCAACTCGATGAAAACGTCCAATTCTGAAAACCACTATGGAAGCTTTCATCACAGTGTGGCTGACAGGGACAAAGCTGTCTGGTGATCACATTTTCTCTGTGTTTCAAATGTCATTAGTTAATTGCCCTATTGAACATTTTCAAAGACATCTATTGAAAGCTGTTTTTATAAACAGAAAATCAGATTTATAAAGTTCTTGCAGAGGCAAACAATCTAATTTTCAAAACTGGCCTCCTCTTACAGCAAATTCTTGCATAAATATTATGACAAGTGTAAAACCAGTAATGACGTGTGCAATAAAATAGCAGGAGGTCTGAGATCCGGCTGGCTACCGATTCCAGTGCGGCCTCAGGAGCAGCGTCAGTGAGAGAGAAGCCGAGGACTGGATTCGGGTCTGGACTCCTGGCGCCAGCCAGCGGCATTTCACCACCTTCCCTGCCTGGTGTCCTCACCTGTGACATGAAGAGCAGCCAGGATGGCTTTTAGGGCTCCTCCACCTTCACCACTCTAAGGTCCCAGTCCAGGATCTCAACAAGGGCATAGGAAACCTAACTTCTCTGAATTCAATGCATTTAACCCTCCCATTGTTTGTATGAACAACCAATGAAAGGGCCAAGCTGCTGGAGACCAGTGTCTAAATAGCAAACTAATGACGGGAATACCTCCACTGGGCGCAGGCGGGTGTGGGCACCGGAGGCCAGCAGGCCGGGCAGCTCAGACTCCTGTACACAGCTGGCAGCCCAGCCCAGCTGCTTACAGATCAGAGCAGCGCAGGCTGCTCACCCACATGCAATTACGTGTGAAGTTCGGCAAATCTAAAAATAGCCTGAGCTCAGCCCCGGGGGTTAATACAGTACTGTCAATGGCTTTCAACTCCACTGTCAGAATGACAGGAAGGGGAGTAACTATAGCAACAGAAAAATGAACCCATAAAGAAAGCCTTCTGAAGTTGACAGGAAAAGTTGAGATTTAATAAAACACTTATTTTTAATCCCTGTCTCTAAATCTTTGAATTCAAATAGTTCAATTTTGTGGAGGTAATAAAATTAGAATTTTGATAAAACAAATACTCTTTCAGCTGGGGGTTCCGGATTCATAACGAAATACTGCCAACCTGTCAATTTTATTGCCTCTGTAATTAAAGGATGATTTGAACAAATGCCTTTATATAATTTTTAACTGAGAGGCTTTTCTCTATATTTGTTCTACCAGTTATAATAATATTCTTGAGCCATACTTGACATTTTAGGATATCGCTACGTGTCTGATGAAATCGTTGGGTGACGCAGAACTCTCCTGAAGTGAAAGGAGCTCCATGGAAATCATCGCGTTAGACGTTCCTGGGGCAGTGCTCCCGGCTCCCACCAGCCCAGCGCGTGGGGCCGGGCAGGGTCGTGTCAACACGTGCACGCGCCTCACGGGCTGAGAAGCCTTCTCCCTCCCAGAGCGCGCACAGTCGGAGGATCAACACGCCAAAGCCCCACAGTCTTTGTTCAGGCGTGTTCAGCTAGGTGCCGGGAAAGGTGCTGTGGGCCCCTGCTCTTCCATAAACTAGCTGTGGCCCTAGACAAGGCACTGCTCAGCTCTCTGGTCACGGGCTGATGGCCTCTCAGGACCTTCCCTGAGAAGGGGCAGTTAAGAGTTAAGGGGAATGAGAAGAGGGTGTGTGTTAATACCCTCTCTAGGCAATGCCTTGTGCTGTGCTTGAAAAATATATAATCTTGGCAACACACTGGCAAGACAGATAACTTTATACAAGAGGACACAGCCATAATCTGGCTGAACTGAAGGGACAGGGCTTGGTCAGAGCCGGTGTCACGCGAGCCAGCCCCTCCCTCGGACCCACTCCAGCGCTCTGGCAGCTGGCTCTTGCCTGCAGCATAAAGACTGTCCCCTCCCCTCCCAGGGGCTAGTACATGTGCTTCAACTGTCTACAGATTTTCAGTGACTGTTTTGTATTTTCCAAGCACAGACGATTAGGTCTCCTGGAAAGTCCCTCTATAATCTTCCCTTCACCCGGTCAAGCACTGTTACCAGGGATTTTCACATCAAATGTACACTACTCTGCCATCTGCCCTTTTCACTTCATAATATATCATGAACATCTCCTTATGTTAATACATAAAAAAGTATTTTAATCTTCATAAAGATTGCGTATCTAAATTATACTCAATCACTTTCTAGTGGATATTTCAGTTGTTCTACTTTTATACTTAATAATCAGAAAAAATAGAAAACATCATATAGAAAAAACACTAGGGAATTACAGCCATTTTTAAAGGAAGTATAATAAGTCAAAAAGTAAATCAAGAACTTCACCTTAATTGTTTTCCTAAAATGTCTGCTTAGAATCAAAATGATCCACCACCACACAGGAATACCCTTTCATAAACCAATGCTATAATATGCAGACGAAAAAAAATGTATCTGTGGGCCGTGGCCAGGAATACGCTGTCGCCTCTCCTAACCCCACTGCAAAAGTGCGGTCCTGCTATTTACTTGGTGAGAAGAAATCCTGGCTGTGGGGAGGGATTCTGGCTGGAAGTGAGCACAGAAACAAATCTAGTTTTGCAGTTGGTTGAAAATTCACAGCTGGTGTGGGCTTTCCTTTAATTAAAGTGTTTCCCCCTCCCATGGAAAATTCTGAGGCTTAAGTAAAGCTGCTTTAGAAGCTGCTATGTGGACCCAACAACTTGGAAATCTCCTAACAGGATTTTCTAGAGTTTTAGTAAATCTTTCTCTCAGTCACTTCTTTGTTCTCCTACTTTGGTCAAAAGCAAAATCAAGTAATGAAAAGGTCACCCATGTAGCCAGAGAAGCAAAAGCAAAACAACAAAAATACCTGTCTACATACACACATATGTGCACACTTCAAAAATAAGATTAATTAATTAATTAAACTTAGTTATATAATACATATTAGTCATCTCTATATAAACTATCTCTTCATTATTTCTTTTGGATACATTTTAAAGTGTGATGCCATGAGATTCGTGTAAACTGAGTTCTATAAAAAATGGTCATTAAAAAGCACATGAATAAACAGTTTTGAAGGGGTGGAAACAGATGTGACAGAGTTTCTCCTGCTGTCCCCTCCTCTTGAGCCCCTTCTCTGAAGCAGTGGTCATGAGAGCAGAAATGAGGCAGAGGATAAAACAGGGCCCAGGCAGTTGTCTGATAAGACACTGCTAGGCAGCCAGCCAGCCACCTAGGACACAACTCTCAAATCTTAAGAGAACATTGATTACCTGCCAGGCAAGGATGGTTCAGACAACACCCACGCAACAGCTGTTCTGGCCACATGTAGTGGACTTGTGACCTAACAGGCAGAGAGACTGATGGAGCCCGAGGTAGAGTCCACCCCAGTGATGGCCCCAGGGCTGGGCCACTCTCAGGGCCCCTGCTAGTGGGCGGAGGCCTTGGTGGGTTCTGTCTGGTTTCTCCTCGTGGGTGGGATGCATCCTGATTCCTTACAATACTTGGTACTGCCATTTCTCCACTCACGGGGCAGCCCGGAGGCCATTTCCACTGCAGCACACGCCTTTGTGTTCCCAAACTACAGACGCTAGACAGTGCAGAGTGGAGAAACAAAGACTGTCCATAAATGGGCTGAAACATAGTAACACTGTGATTTTAAAAGCTTTTGCAAGCAGCATGGAGTTACTGAAGTTAATACATATGTGACCCAGCAGAGACCATTTCCAATACAAAATACACAGCTCCGCACGTGCAGAGAGCGCTGTGGCTGAAGACTTCCTAACGTGGCCAACACGACTCACACGCACGGCAGGACAGTTCTTAGACCCGAAGCACGGTCAGAAGTAAGAAAAAGTCATGCGGTCCTGACATGCATTTCAGACAGCTGGTTAAAAACATGTATTTAAAAGAATAAAGAAAGCAATGTCCAAATAATCCCATTACTGATCCTAGCCAGGTTGGCACACTAAAATTGTTTGATGTTGAAAGCTCAACATTTTCTTTTGGTTCGAGGTAGACAGATACTTACAAGGGTGGTCTGGCAGCTAGGAGTTGAACATTACAGTCAGACTGATTGACTCTGAGTTTCTACTCCACTTACTAGTGACATAATCTTGGGAAATTTTATTAATCTCTCTGTGCTTCAGTTTCCTCATTTGTACAATGGGGACAGTGACAGTATGTCTACCGCAGGGCTGCTGTGAGGAGTCCATGAGATAATCGCATGAAGAGCTTAGCCAAGGGCCTCTCATGCTTATGACCATCACTATTCCTAGGGCCAAAGGAGTTCACTCACCAAGATGCGTGTCCATCACCTTTGCACAATATTTGCACATGGCATCCAGGTCATTCAACTGTCCTTGAAGGAAGGAAATTTGGGCTTCTAATTCTTCTTCCTAAAATGAAGGAAGGGGGTCAAGATACAGACATTAAAAAAAAAAAATCAAATAAAATCTCCTAAGTTCTCTAATGATGTGGACTATTTAAAAAAGGCACAATGTCTTTTCAGTCCTAGATAAAACAAAAGAAAACAGCCAATTAATAAGAACAAACCCACCACTGCCTTACCTATAAAATAGAGAGAGGGTAAATGGAAGCTGAGAAAGATCTGGACTTGTCCTAATTGAATGCTAGCTTTGTGCTATGTGTAAATGTTTATAACATTGTATAAAAAAGTATATAAAATACCTTCCATAACTATTGAGTTCCACAAATTGGGAGAGTAAATTGCATTTCAGTCAACCACCCTCCCCAGGCAGCTGGTACAAAAACATTACATTTTTTTCTCACACACATTTGGGAAACTAAAGATTTCCATTTGTATAAGACAAATCTCATCACTTTCCAGACAATGAGAATCTCTTAAAAAGTGAGATTTCCCCAAAGCACTTGGAAAAGTTTCATCCCCGCGGCCCATAAATAGCTGCTCTTACATTTCCTCTCGATGTGACACTGGAGCATTTTATTTGATGGTTTCTGGGAAAATACTCTGGGTTGAGTAATCATCTAAATGGTAAAAGACAATCTATAACAAAAGCAAAAAGTCTGTTGCCTTTTTTTTAAGGAAAAAAAAATATACACATAAAAAATTTCCCAAGGAAATTTAGAAAGATTAAGGGAGTTTTTCTCAGGGACAGGGATTTGTCCTCATTAGGTAGGATATTTTAAACCAAGGGAGCTGGAACACACAGAAAAGATGTTGCCAGAGCTGGAATAGGCCAGAAAATTGATTTTTCAGTTTTGGATGCTTGTCCTTTCACATAAAAGTCCTGTGTCATTAAAAAGAAGGGAAGAGAAACCTACAGCGTATGCTTTTCCTTAGAGACAGGATAATCTGACTTATAGATGGAAAGAACAGTTGAAAAGGTGACTTGTAGGTGTATTCCATTTTAGCAACACGCATAAGCAGCACTGAGAAGTATCGCTGCTGCCTGGAGAAAAGCCCTCAGGAATATGCATTTAAACGTGACACAGAAAACAGACCGAGCAGGGGCTCTGCAGACAAGCTGCTGAGAAGAAGGGCCACTGCCGGGTAACACGCACTACCCATGTTCTCTGCACGTCCCACCCAGGACAGCAGCCTCTCAGCTGATACTCAGTAAAGAGAAACACCACCGGAGGGAGCTCAGCCAGGGACCACCGAGCCGTGGGGAGGTGGTGCCACCTGCCTGGCAAGGATGGGGTGTGTCAGGGTGTTGTTCCTTTCCCCCTTTGTTTCTGCTGAGTTTCCCTGCTCCACCAGGACACCGAAGGAGAAAGGAAACTGCATGGTGGTTAGTGGCAGCTGTGCCTGGTTCCCAAAGCTGGCTGCCCCCAAGTCCTGTCCCAGTGTGCATCCCCCCTCTCCTGGGCTGCCTGTGGCTTGGCTTGATGCAGAGAACTCAGCAGGAGTCAGACTGGCCAGCTTGGGGCTGGTGTAAGAGGCTGGCTGACTTCTGCGCCCAGCAGAGGAAGACACCGGCATGTCACACAGAAGTTCAGCTTAGAACACTGAGAAACAGGAGAAAACACGGACAGAAAGAGGCCACAGGAGCTCCGAAGGCATCTGGAGAGCTTGTCCCACAGCGCAGATCGCTGAAACAGCGGGGGAGGGAGACACCACGAGACTGGCACGTGGCCCGAGGAAATTTGAGTTCTGTTTCTGATCTGGCCATTTACAAGCCGTGTTCCTTTTGAGAATCCTCTACCCGACCTGGGCATAATTCCACACTCTCTGGGGAAGGTACAGCTCTGGCACTTTGCTCTTGCAGAACTTACAGCGTGTAGTTGGAATAAGAAAGACATAAATCACTAGAGTACGAGGCAGAGTACAGAAAGTCTTATAATAATTAAGAATAATTGCTGTGGGAACCCTGGTCCCTGCCTCCTGTCCCTTCTATCGAACAAGTCACCTTTCAGTGGGTTATAGACACAAACCCAACCGGATGAGTCTGGAATGGACTGAGGTGAGAGCTGGGCAGTCTGTTAACAACAGGGGCCTCTGCCCTGGCCGGCTTGGCTCAGCAGTTAGGGCGTTGGCCCGTGGACCGATGAGTCGCGGGTTTGATTCCGGCCAAGGGCACGTACCTCAGTTGTGGTTCGTCCCCGGCCCTGGTCGGGGTTGTGTCTCTCTCTCCCTCCTTCCCACTCTATCTGAAGATAAATTGAAAAATATCCTCGGGTGAGGATTAAAAAAAAAAAAAAATAGATGGCCAGGCTGTGGCCTGAGTTTCCCTTGAATGTTTCGACCAAGTGGGGTGCTGGCGGCCCAGAGTGGACAAAGGGACCTGGGAAAGTGCTGCTCCTGGCTTAAAAACACCTTCTCTCTTGTATTAGTTTCATTTGGATTAAGCAATCACTTCTTTTAAAATGCAAAAGCCCTTGGGAACTTTAATCCCCAGCAGAAATTCCTACCTAAATGGATTTATTTTATCCAGTTTGTTTTTGTTTTACAAGCTTGGAGGGATGAGGCACTTCAGAGGAGACACTTGGAGCAGACAGACCAGACCAGTGGCGAGGCGGTGGGCAGCTGGAAGGAAGTACGTAGCTCAAAGGAGGGTCTCTTCCTCTCAACACTTTCCTGTGCAAGCAGGAACATTATTGTAATAAAAACGTGATGGGACTGACACCCTTGGAACTGTGCAGTGCCTGGTCTGCACGGTGTCTGGGGAAGCCCAGGGCACAGCCACTCTGGGCACTTGCTGCGTGAGCACGTGCAAGTATAAAAACACGGCTTCCACGTCTGCAAAGGCTGCTTCGGGTCTGGTGGCAATGAGGAGCCTCTGGCTTGCCTAAATCCCAAATCAACCTCAGTCAACTGGAAGCTGTGCTGTAGAAAATGGCAACTTCCACTCACTTAAACCTTGTCGTCAAAGGAGAGCTCACACAATGACCGTAAGAAGAGCATTCTGGTTGAAAGAGGTTGGGGGGCCCAACACATTCTATTTGGAAGTTAGAAATCCAGTGTGTTATCTCTCTAGAGTTTGCTTCATCTTAAAACATTCCTAAACCCTTCAGCTATCACTCAGACTTTATAAATAGAAATGGAATCACTTGGAGGCAAAAAGGTGGCTTGTCATTTATTCTTCACTATATAATTACAGACAAAAGAGCCAAGATCAAGTATCTAAAACCGTGGAGCTGCCTGCACATCACTGTGCTCGCTGCTCACGCTCCTCACTCCCCCAGCTCACAGGCTCTGGACCGACAGCGTAGTCATCCCCTTTCATTGACTTGGTCCTCTGTAATACAAACAAATGCCTGGCTAACCGCCTTGAGGTTTTATGAAAACAGTGTAATGTTTTAGGTACAGTAAGATACCAAGAAAAATGTTTATTATATAGCAGGTCCTCAAATGACATCTTTTCATTCAATATCATTTTGTTATCAAGTTGACGAGATGTCATAGGAACTTGACTCTTGTTTAAATCAACTAGCCTACAGTAAAACTGGTTGTTATATGTTGTTTCGCTTAAAGTCACAGAACCCATGGGTGATGCTAAGCGAGGACTTACTGTGTTACCTTCGCACACATGTTCTGCTGCCGCACAGCAGGGAGTACGGGGGGCAGGTGTGTCTCTGGTAAACACACCCAGGTTCAAATGCACTTCCTGCCAGTTAGTTACTAGCTCTATGACCTTAGGCAAGTTCCTTAATTTCTGGGTCCCCTCACCCCAACCTAGCAGGATTGGAGGAAGAACAAAATGAGAACCTCGTGGAGAGTATCTGGCACACAACAGGTACTCAATAGAGGCAATTATTCTTTCTTTAATAACAATTTTTATAATCAGGTCAAAACAGTGCAATAGATTTTAAGTACATGGTTTTATAATTCACTGTTGTAAAACATTGGTTTCTGGTTTTACAACTTTTATGTGGCTTAGCCCAGAAAGATTAATTAGGGCTTAAGAGCCCATCACTGTCTTCAGTTATGAACAGCAAATGGATGTGCTAGGCAAAACATGATGGAGGATTAGGAAGCGGGGCCACACAGACCACGATGTGCAACACGTCACAAACTGTCCGTGCCAGCCCTGCAGGGAGGACGAGGGCCACGCCACTGGGAGAGAACACCTGGCCTCTAACCCTTCTACAGCGACCCCATTCACACTGCGCTCTGCATGCATTAACCACTCATCCAGTCCTCACACATCTGTAAGGTAGATTCGCTCACTCTCTCCTACAGAAACATGGCCCCTCTTCGTAAACATATTGACAGTGAATGCCAGGTTTAGACAGCTAATTAGACCCACGTCCCTTGGCCCACTCCTCCCTGAGTACACAGTCTTTCTTATGCTGAGCTGCTATGGTCTTTCCAATGAAGAATCTCGTATCTCGGTTTCCTCTGAGAGAGATTCAGCAATGACGGTGGTAAGTCCCAATTCAAAATTACTTACTAAATTGTTTTCCTTCAAATAAATTTAGGCATAATTGGTAGCATTCTGGCTTGTTATTTGCTGAATGATTTCTGTTTTGACTGTATCTGAAGAAATGATTTTTTAGACTTTTTAAAAAGTAGAGTTTCCACCACCATTCACCCAAAAATCATTGATGTGTCATTACACTTCTACTCAAATATGATAGTATCTCAGTTGCTTAAATTATTTTATACTATATGAACTTTATATATCAGCTTCATTACATGCTTGCATGTTTTTCTGCTATTTTGTATCCTAGGACACCCTTCTGTAGTTTCTTATTTAGTTATTTATGAATTTGCTCAATACCTACGTTTGGGATAGGCCTGGAAAAGGCACTAATGGATTCATGAACTTGCCCTCTGCAGCTTACAAGGGCAAGACCCGAGCCCTGCACGCGGCGCCAAGAGCTGCGCAAGGCCAGCTCCGCAGAAGACCTGAAAGAGAAGCTGCCCAGGTTGGCGACGGGCAGACTTCCAACTCAGAGAGATGGAATGAAA